AATTCATCTAGAGATTAGACATAAAGCAAGAAGTTAAAAAAAACACCCACGAAGACCAACAGTGCTCAACTCAGTAACTTGCTGATGTCACAAAGCCGGTTAGTGACAAACTTGGACTAAAATTTCTTAATCCTAGGTCAGTGATCCTTACTCTATAAAACGGCTTTGAAAGGCTTCAGAAATAACTAGGTATTGTGGTCAACATTATCCTATTTTTAATTTCTCGGTTATTGTGTATTGTGACTTTACTATAAGCCAGGCATTGTGGCTGCACATTACATGCATATTTAATCATCACAACATTATCTTCTATTGTTACCGTTTTTAAAAAAATCCGTGTTCCCAATTCTAACTCTGGTTTGGAAAGCACAAACCAAAAGGTAGACAAAACACCCAGAAAACACAACCATTCTATCTATATACTTATAAAACTGGGGATGACAGTGTTTACATTATTGATTCTGTGATTTTATTAAAAAAAATTTACTGAACTGTCTGTAAAAAGAAATAGAAAATTCAAAACAAAACAAAACAAACCCTGTATAGAAGTAAGTGATCTGAAGAGCACCCACTTGAGTAATATCTTTTCTAAAAGATTCAGGGACAGTGAGATATCTAAAAAAGTTAAGAATAATGAATGATACACAGCTGCAGAAAATATTCTGTTATATTTCTGGAATATCGGCCTGTTTGATTAGAAACTTAACTTTCTTTTAGGAGAAAAAAGAAACACAAGTTCACATTTATATATGCTCCCAACAGTCTGTTAGTAAAACACATAGAAGCCTACATTGTCAACTAGTTTTTAACATGAACATTTCAGATTTGGAATAGAAAAATATCAAACTTCTCAATGAAAACATCCTATCATGATAGTTGAGCACTTTAAGAACTGGATAAAGCTTTAATCTACCCAGTGTTTCACAACACTGTTTATGTTGACCATGTTCCAGATTTTTTAAATTTCTGGGATCTCAGCAGCTGTGTCAGAAGAATGTCTGAGCTATAGCTGCTTCTTTATTTGGTCCCAAATAGACCTAGAAAAAAGGTGATCTGTACAATTAAAAACAAAACCAGTAAATGCTTGCTTTTGCCATCTCGTACCCAATGGATTTGGAAGTAATCCACGCAGGATATCTGGGTCACAAGAACTTCTACATCTGGTTGATGTATTGCCTAACAACAGATACCAAAACAAATGTTGTCCATATTGAAAAGTCCTAACATGGAGGAGAACAGAAGCTCCTGCACATTTTTTCTAAGTACAGTGAAATGAGTGGTGTTAAAGGTGCATTCTCATTTGATAATGACATTCTCTCATTACCATTCCTCAAAAGCTGGACTACATTAGGGATAAAGTCTATGGCCATACACCCAAAAATGTATTTGTGTAAACTTAATCATACTGGAATTATATATATATATATATATAATCACACTCCTCTGTAACCAACTGAATTAATCAGATCTTTTATCTAGGCTATCATCCAAAATAATTTCTATGTACCACTCCCTTATTTGTGTTTTGTACAAACCAAACTTCCTTAAATACAAAAGAACTCTTTCCTGCCTCTCAGGATCAGAAGTGGTGAAATCCTATTGGTGAAATCCACAGCTGTCTCCATAGCCTGTACTTCAGAGGCAGCACCAGTTGCCTACTGCTGTCAAGTTGATTCCAACTCATGGCGACCTCATGCACGTCAGAGCAGAACCGTGCTCCATGAGGTGTTCAATGGCTGATTTCTCAGAAGTAGATGACTAGTCCTTTCTCCCCAGGCACCTCAGAGTAGGCTCAAACCAGCAAGCTTTCAGTTAGCAGCCGAGCACGTTAACCATCTGCACTACTCAGGGACTCAAAGCCAGCACAGAGCATAGAAAGGCAAAGTCTTCCTCTGAGTAATCCCAGATTATAGACAAAAATGAATTCATAGAAGACTTCACAGTGTCGCAGAGAAATTTCAGTGAGAACTTTTATACAACACATAATCTGTTTCCTATTTTGGGGCAACATGGAGCAACAATAAGATTAGGTACCACACTGCTATCATCATTCTGGTCCTTGGCTAGAATATCGTCCAATCACTTGTGAAGCCCCCGAAATATTTATATGTCAAGAAAATGTTTTCTTTTTTTAGCATATCTGTGTGTCAAGGAAGAGCTCTGGTGGTGTAGTGGTTAAAGCATTAGTCTACTACTAAACAAAAGGTCGACAGTTTGAACCTACCAGCTCCTCCTTGGGAGAAAGAGGCAGTCTGCCTCTCTAAAGATTTACAGCCTTAGAAACCCTATGGGGCAGTTCTAGTCTGTCCTATAGGGTTGCTATGAGTTGGAATCGACTTGATGGCAGGGGGATTGGTTTTGGGTTTGGCATGCCAAGGTATTATCAATAAACTCAGGATCATCATTTTAGACATCTTTATTATCAAAATGGTCTGAGATGTTACTGTAAAGTACTTTGATACACATACTGTAGTATTTACAACAGACAATTCAAACCAACCAAATGATAGCAATTCAAGGGGAGGGGAGGATCCTGCAGTTCATATCAACTCCCAGGAAATCATGTAACAAATTAGAGTTTCTGAGTAAATGCAACTTCAAGAATCCCACAAGAGTACACACACCAATTAGAAGTCCCTCCTGTAATTGTGCCACATAATTGGCCTTGGACTGTTTGCTCCACTGCCTCCAGTTGGAGCCCAGCTCAGACAGGCTCCTCTGAAGCAACAGACAGGCTAGACAGATATTCTGCCAACATCCAAGTGTCAGTACAGAACTGCAGCAAACGTCCTGATAGAAGTGCAAGGATTTGTCTATACCCACTCCTCACTTATCAACACAGTTAGGTTCCAAAGACCAGGGCATTATGTAAAAATCAGCATTATGTGAAGATGGGAGGATGACCATATCAGATTACAAAATGGAGGACAACTACATCATTACATCACTCACTCACTGCTATCGAGTTGGATCCGACTCATAACAACCCCTCCTTGGGTTTCCAAGGCAGAATCACTACTGAAGCAGATTGCCCAACCTTCCTTCTGAGGAATGGCTGGTGGGTTTGAACCACATATCATTACATAGTAACTGCCAAACCACTGAGAATGATGGCCCAGCCAAGTTGACAAATAAACCTTAACCATTACAGCCAGCATTACTCTCATCTTGAACCTCGACATTTTTTTTACCAGATGTACATCATTAATGCACAATACAGTCCTACAGATTTTTTACTAGTTTCATAAATCCAAAATGTTGGATAGCAAGATAGTCAATAACTGAAGGGGTGTTTTTTTTTTTTTTTTTTTTATCTGATAGCCATGCTCAGAAATACCGTAAGACTCAGCACATGCAAGGATAAAATTTTATCTTTAATACCATCCTAGACATGCAGTGGGATGTGATGTTCACATGTATTATGTACCAGCATCTAGCTAAGAAAGGTGAAAAACGCATGTAGCTTTTACAACTGGAAAAACTTTGCACACACCGTGAATCAGGCTTCCTGACTGAATGAAACAATTATTTAAGTATGTAAAAAAGAATGAGACCTGTTTTTTTGTGTCAGTTACTAAATATAGGACAAACTTCTCCCTTTGGGAAGGAGGCTTTTAAAAAGTTGTGTGCTTTTTCTAAAGAACTATTTAAAGCTGCATAAATTATGCATGCTCTCTATAAAAAGATTAGAAAATATAAAAAGGCACAAAAAGAAAATAAAAAAGAATAGTTACTAGCAATCCTACCAACCAAAGATCACAAATATTTCGGCATACAGGTATACCTCAGAGATATTGTGGATTCACTTCCAGATCACCACAATAAATTAAACATCACAATAAAGTGAGTCCCATGATTTTTTTAGTTTCCCAATGTACACAAAAGTTATGTTTATACTATAATATATTAAGTGTACAACAGTATTATGCAAAAGTTTAAAATACTGTGAAAATTACCAACATGTGCAAGACACAAAGTGAGCACATGCTGTTGGAAAAATAGTGCCAATAGACTTACTGGACTCAGGGTTGTCACAAACCTTTGTAAAAAATGTATTATCTGTGGAGTGTAATATATCATACCTCATAAAACGAGGTATGCCTATATATAGTTGTAGACTATCGACTTGTAATAAACTTCCAGACCAACCAAACCCACTGCCATTGAGTTACATAGGGACTCTACAGGACAGAGTAGAAATGCCTCCAGTGTTTCCAAGATTGTAAATCTTATGAAAGCAGACTGCCATATCTTTAGCTCACAGGACAGCTGGGGGTTCAAATTACCAATCTTTTGGTTAGCAGCTCAGCGCTTTAACCACTGCACCACCAGGGCTTTTTGTAACACATTTGCTCATTACAAAAGTTAGGTTCTTCAGCTCACTGGTGTATATATAATAACAGACATCATTTTTTAGAAGTCTGTGGGCTTACCTTTGGAGCCTATGGTGGTGAGAATGGTTAAAGTGCACGGCTTGCTAACCAAACAGCTGGAGGTTAGAGTCCACCCAGAGGTACCTTGGAAGAAAGGCCTGGCAATCTGTTTTCAGATCTTAACTCTACCAGGCCAAAGTACAGAATTCTCCTGTACTCATTGAATAATCTAGTTTGTTTTTACGGTTTAATAAATACCCTATAGTCCAAATTTTGTGCAGCTGCATGGTTTATTTTAAAATCACTAAATAAGGAACCCTGGTTTTTGGTTTTTAATGAAGTCTAAGATTTTAGTTCCAAAAACACATAAAGACTAACGTGACTTTTTATTTTTTTGTTGAACCAGGAAATGTAAAAACATTTTGCTTCCATTCTCAACTCCTTTCCCAATTTATAGTTGCTTTTTTAACTGAATAATCTGGCTTTAAGACTGACTTCTTATTTAATCACCATACTTTTAACTCATAGCACAAATGAGGCTTTCAAAACAGTTGTTAAGATACATATTAAAAAACCCATTAAGTGAAACTAATCTAAGAGACTGTTCGAAAGACAAGAATTCCTTACCTTATCCGCATAAATTGGAATATCATGAAATGGAGATATGTATTCTCCTTTTTCATTTTCTGTAAAATAAATTAGAAAGAAAAGGTTATTACTGTAGTTAACTACATTTCCAGGTACATGAAATACATTTTTTTATACCAAGATTTTACTTTCACACCAGAAAAACCTAACCAGGTTTTATACTGGTTGCATACTTCACATTTCTTGACCCTCTTTCAAGACTGGGTTGGGTTTTCATCCTATGTATTCCTTAGGCATCTCACAAGTATTTACACCTATAAAACACAAAAAAAACCAAACCACATTTGCTGCCGTCAAGTTGGTCCCGATTCAGAGCAACCCCTCCTTGGGTTTTCAAGGCAGTATCTCTACGGAAGTAGATAGCCCAGTCTTCCTTACGAGTAGTGGCTCTTGGGTTTGAACCGCCAGCCTTCTGGTAAGCAATCAAATGCCTTGGGCACTACGCCACCAGAGCTCCTATAAAGAGGGCAGAGACTGACTTACATACCTTTGTATCCCCAAAGCCTAGCAGTGCCTGATACACTGAAGGCAACCAAATTGTTTTGGATTAATCTTTGCAGTGCAGTGAATTATTTCTTCTAGCAAGGTCTTTGTGACTACCCCCAGTTGACTGGTGGGACTACGTAAATGTGAGGTACTTGTGGTCCACCAAGGGGATTGGATAGCTTGTTAACAATGTAAATAAGCCTACTCCAGGGAGATGTACCCCTTAGATCAATTAACCATGAGACATCTGAGGAGTAGCATTCACATAGAGGGAAAGCTGGACAGACAGGAATGCATAGGTAAGAAGGGCATAGGGAGGGCACTAGTCACAAGGAGGAGAGGGGAGGAGAGTTTTTATGGTTAGGGATTGTATTAGGGGCCATGAAATCAAATGTGCATGAACCGTTGAATGTAAAACAAATCTGCTTTGTAAATATGCACCCAAAGCACAATTTAAAAAAAAAAGAAAGAAATAATACCACCCATCTGAAGGATCCCATCCCTCAGAAAAGCAATCCAAGCCCTAGGACAGAGCTCAGGCATTTCACTATCTGCTTTACCCACCCAAGGGCCTCCCTGGGAAACTGCAAATGGCTTTCCTTTTCCATTCTTTTTATCATCATGATTTGGTTTTGAGGACCCACCATTAGTTCCAGTCTAACTTTTCCTCAACTTCCAGGAGATCTATCAGGGCTACAATTAATGGTACCCTCCCACCAGCCACTCCTCAGAAGGAAGGTTGGGCAATTTACTTCCGCAGTGATACTGCCTTGGAAAACCAAGGTGGGGTCGCTATGAGTCGGATCCGACTCAACAGCAGTGAGTTTGGTTTTTTTTTTTGGTTGTTTTCCACTTCAGGTTCCCCAAGGTGGGATGAAACTATTACCTGTTCTGGGACCCTTGATACATAGTAATATATTAACACCCCACCTCACAAGGTTATTGTAAAAACCCAGCGAAATAAAAGCACTGTTCAAACTGAGAGAGGAAAAAAGAAACAAAACAGTGTAAATAAGGTACCTGGGCACCACAGTGGGGGTAGGACCATGGAAATAAGGTGTCTAGAACTCTAACGTGAGGATTGGTCAGTTCTGCCACCTCGCAAGGTTTAAAATGAGCCATCCCAGAGGCAGAAAAGGGGGATCTCACTGCCATCAATAGAGAAGAAGCAGGAGTGAAGCGTGTCCTTGGACCCGAGATCCCTGTGCTGGACCTCCTTCACAGAGAGATGGCAGAGACAGTGACAGCAGAGGCAGCCGAACCAAGAGACTGAGGGCCAAAGAAAAGCATGCCTGTGGCATGGCTGAGAAGAAGCTGTCTCGAATGAAGAACTGGATCCTGAGCATTCCTGAATCTGAATTGTAACCTGTTACTATTTCCCTAATAAACCCCATAATGAGTATTGTGCGAGTTCTGTAGAGCCACTGCAAGGAATTATTGAACCCAGGAGAGAAGTAGAGTGACCTGGGAAGGACAAATGGTGTCAGAACTGGCAAAAAGGTTACAGGGTGATGGCACGTCTGACCTCTGCCTCATAGGATTAAGCCTTGGGCTGCTGATGGTGAGTCTCTCTACCCTTTGTGACATTACAGGAGGTCAGAAGAAGCTGCCACCATACCCTTTTCGCAATCTTATGCCAGTTAGCAATTTATGGAACTATTATGAAATACTTAGGGAGAAAGGAGGGGACTAACATGCTAAATTATAAATTGTTGCTTTAAGTGATGTCCCAGGAAGACAACCATCCTAGACTATGGTTTTTCTGAAAGATACTCATGTTGCAACAACACTTTCATAGGTAATTTTTATTCTAGAAACCTAACTACCATATCCAAAAAGTAAGTTTAAAACTTCCTCACTATTCTTTAGGAAATCTATGGATCAAATCCACATCGAGTTCCTTCTGACTTCAAAACCAGACTATAGCAGGGAAAGTTGAACAATGAGCATCTCCAACTCCTTAAAGGGCGTTCAGAATCAATTTTGATTTTCAAATGGTCGCTGTCAGTATGTAATCTTAGTAAAAAATATATTGTTATGTTTAAAAAAATCTAAGTAAAATTATTTGCTCTGCAAATATAGTTTGAAGACAATTACCCCACAACTTCAAACCAGAGTCACCTCTCTAAGCCCCTTCTATTGAGAAATTCTGGAGCCAACACTTAACTCCAGAAAAATAGTCCAGTGAATTAATAGTCAAAAGTTCCTGCACTCCCCTTGCAGCTTCATTCTGAAAAATGAAATGAAAGTCCCACCCTTCCTGGAATTTACCTGGTAGTTTAATCTTCAGCTAGATGTGGAAATTCTAGGCTTCACTTTCCTTTTCCTCCCACATCAAGCTTTTTGCTAGAAGCTTTTTTTGTTCATTCTTTCAGTCTCCCTATTCCTCCCTTTCTACCCCTTCCCATACATGGACTCAAGAGTTTGCTGCATCTGCCTATTTCCTTCCACAATAAAATCGTGTAAAAGTTAAATAGAACGCCTTTGGTGACACATTTTTAAACACCTTCGTTATCACCAGTAATCAACTCTTTGTATCTTGGAGGGTAAAAGATAAAGATAAACCCAAGGTAGGTTTCCTCCACCTACAATGCAAAAAGGTGGTGTGTCCAGGAGAGCCGAGTGTCCTCAGACTACAAGCCCCTCGGTACTAGGTGCAGGACTCGGGACACTACCCCTCAAATGCCAACACAATGGTAAAAACTTGGCACTTTCTTACTCATTCTTCTCAGACTGATGTCATTGGTTTAACATGGGAACAGCTTTCTGTTTCAATAGGAGCACTCCCAGCATCAGTGTTACGGGAAAGCACGCATGAGAATCAGGAGCTTTACCCCTGACGTCGGAGGGTAATGGATCCAGCCCTCCACCAAGAGTCCTTGACTGGGACTTAGGTTTCACCATCTGCAGAACCGGGGATTGGACTTCATGCCGCTCCTTGCCCACAATCTGAGCTCTGCAGGAGGTATTGTCTTAAGAAAATCACTGCCCCACCCCTGCTCCCCCAAACTCTGCAATCCTCTTACAGAGATTACTTTACCTCCAGTCACCTTTCTAGAGTGACTCAGTGGTTTCCTTTTCCTATGAGACACCGACCCAACCGGACACCTGCATAACTACCCTGGCCCAGGCTAGTCCAGCCAGCATATGAAAGGGGAATACTTCTCTTCAGCAGAGATGGATGGCCGAGGCAGACCCATTCTGCCTCGTCTGCAAGCGGGAAATGTGAAACGTAAGGGCTGGTTCGGCTCGGGGCGGGGGAGCCCGGCCCGGCCCGGCCGGGGACAAGAGGCAGACTGCGGGCCGCGCGCGCGCCGGGGAGGGAGGCGAGGCCCGGGAATGAATGGACCGGCGTGCGGGGAAGGGGCGCGGGCCGCAGATACTCACTGAGGAAGACTCGGTACTCGAGGGTGAAGGGCGCGGCGCGCTCCTCGCTGCTGAAGCGACTCATGGTGCCGGAGATGACCTGCCGCCGCTGCTAAACAGACCTGAGCCCGCACGCGGGGCTCGCTGACAGAAAGCTCCGCGCCTGCGCACTGCGAGGACTGGCGGGACAAGCCGGGCGGGGAGCGGCCTTTAACGAGGCTCGCGCCCGCGTTCCCAACCTACCCCTGCCCGGCCCACTCCGTGCGCAGGCGCACTACGCCTGCCCTGAGCGTTCGCGTCCCAGCCTCGCCCGGTTCCGCCCCGCCTCCGCGGACAACCCGTGTGGCTCTGAGGTTGGGCCACGTGGCTGGTAGCTGGCTCTTGCTCTATTCTTCTTCTGTCCAGTCCATGGGCTTTAGGGCTCAGACAAGGGAACGTTGCGCTCAAGTAAGTTCTCAGCTTGAATGACCTGGTAGACCATAGCTACACACACACACACACACACACACACACACACAAAACTCACCTTTGACTCTCACACACCCCTTCCAGCAGAGAAGTTCCTTATCTCAAAAGGCACTTATGAGTCACCTGCTTCCCCCACCAGACAGGCCCTTCTTGCGGTCTTAGAGTATTTTTTTGACCCGTTTTAGCAGAGTTAGTTTTAGTGACCCCATAATAATTGCCAAGGAGTCCTGATGGCAGTAATTTTTAAAGCGCTGGGCTGCTAAGCAGAAAGCCAGCAGTTTGAACCCACTAGCCACTCTGCGGGATGAGGGGGGGGGGGGGGGGGGGGGGGAGAGGTGACAGTCTACTTCGGTTGGTAAAGATTTGCAGCGTTGGAAACCCTAAGGACAGTTCTACTCTGTCCTGTAGAGTTGCTCTGAGTGAGAATTCAGTGGATGGCAGTGAGTTTGGTTTGGTAATGGCTGCCTGCAGAACTTAGACTGACAGCATCTCCACTTTCCAGTGTGTAATATTAGGCATGGTACATTTAACCAATCCCAGTTTTTCATCTGGAAAATGGAGATAATAGTAACTATTTCATGAGGTTGTTGGGATGATAAACTGTATTGATACTCTCTAAATGCCTGGTGCAGGGAGCTCTGGTAGCATAGTGGCTAAGACACTTGCCTGCTAACCAGACGGCTGGCGGTTCAAACCCACCAGCCACTCCTCGGAAGGAAGGTTGGGCAATCCTACTTCCGTAGTGATACTGCCTCGGAAACCCAAGGAGGGGTTGCTATGAGTCAGGGCTGACTCGACGGCACATAACAACAACAACAACAACAAATGCCTGGTGCAGAACTTGGGAGTTAAACACCGATTCCTTGCACGAGTTGAAACTTGCCAGGCTTGCAACAGTGCCTGGCACATTGTAAGTGCTCAGAAAGTATAACTAGTTACTGACACCGTCCCCAGTGAGGGAGAATTACTCTGTCCTCTCCTGGCCTAGCTGCTCCATGTCACCAGGGACTTCAGAAGGAAGCATTGGGAAGGTCCAGACATGAGCTCAGAGTCCCTTGAGGACATTGCTCTCAGGGATAGGCTCTTTGGGGCTTATTTTTCTACTTCTGTTATACAATGTCAGGCCAGATCCCAAAAGCTGAAGTCTGATTGAGACTGTGGGTAGACATTTATATCACTTACTTAGGCAATCTTGTGTTAAGAAAAAATATATTTCCAAATCCTAGTTATAATAAATTAAACCCATTCCCATAGGGTTGATTCCAACTCATGGCAAGCCATGGTTACAGAGTAGAATGACTCCGTAAGTTTTCCTTTGCTGTAAACTTTATGGAGGCAGATCACCAGGCCTTTCTTCCTCAGTGCCTCTGGGTGAGTTTGTACTGCCGACTTGATGTTAGTATTGTTGTTGTTGTTGTTGTTATGTGCCGTCAATTCGGACCTGACTCATAGCGACCCTTCCTTGGGTTTCCAAGGCAGTATCACCACGGAAGTAGATTGCCCCATCTTCCTTCCGAGTGGTCAAGTATAAACAAACCATTTGTGACACCCAGGGACTTCTTATTATAAACTAGACAATGATACTCACTTTTCAAAGAATGATTAGTTTTATTTAAAAAAAATTTTGATGAGGGCTTCCTTAAATAATCTTGTTTTTCTAGAGCATTAAAGATAATTGGCCTCAAGGACATTTTGATTTATACTCTTGTGGTTTTGTTTTGTTAAAAAAAAAAAGAAAAACAAACACCCAGTGTACATTATATAAAATGAGAGGATTTCTGTATTAAATGAAAACAAACAAACGAACAAAAAACCTCACTGCCATTGAGTCAATTCTGATTCATAGCAACCCCTCCTTGGGTTTCTGAGACAGTATCTCTACAGAAGTAGATTGCCCAACCTTCCTTCCAAAGAGTGGCTCGTGGTCTGGTTAGCAGTCAAATGCCTTATGCACTACACCACCAGAGCTCCTAAATGAAAACTTAGTAAGATAATTTTCTAAATACTTAGGAAGAGCATCCCTCCCTCTGTCTCCACCCAGACTCCCAAGACCATTGACATGTCCATTAATTTTCAGAAGGCTGGGACTCACTGACCTTTTGACCACTACACTACACTGCTTTTCTGTTGTTGCAACACAAGGCAGAAACAACAAATAGTGGAGCAATAGTTAAGTCAGTGATACAATGTCATGTAGGCCTGAAAGTTAAAGGAATCTGCAGAATGAATAGAAGTCCAGAGAGTTCCGTTTTGTTTTAAGGAGATGTGCTATTGATTGAGAGAGCCCTGGAGGTTAGCTCTGCTAACCAAGAGGTCATTGGTTCGAACCCACTAGCCACTTTGAAAGAGAGGATGTAGCAGTCTACTTCCATAAAGTTTACAACCTTGGAAGCCCTATGGGGGCAATTCTACTCTGTCCTATAGGGTTGTAATGAATTGGAATTGAGTAGATGGCAGTGAGTGGGTGATAGTGGGCTTTTAATTGGACTGCTTTATCCATTTTCTGCCTTTGAGCAGACAGACCAGTTTTCTTGGGAAAACCCAGAAACTCATCTCTAACTGACTCATGATCAGACAGAAATGATGCAATAATGTGCCACATACACTTTCCCTTTTGCCTCCTGCCAGCTCAGAGCAAGACAATCAAGCCTACTGACCTCTGGACTTGTGTTTTATTGAATGTGTTTGGAGCGCTAATCAGTGCCAGCTCCAATCAAACACTCTGTCCTGGCTTGGATTGCGCATGAGTAAGTGCTTTGTAACTTTCCCTTGCAGGCAAGGGCGGTGAGCCCTTCAAGTCCAGGTGGACCTTGTTCTATTCATCATGTCTCTGTGGGGCCTACCACCATACCTGGCCTCAGAGTAGATGTTTGTGTGTATTTGCTGGGCCAATGGAGAGAGGAATTGATGAAAAAAAGGAAGGGAAAAAACTTTCTTAAGTACACTGATTTGGCAAGGGAGGAGCCCAGATGTTCTAGAGGTTATCTTTATTACTCTGGAACCAAATACAGTGGCACTGCGGTGGTCAGTACTGTTGGGTATATCTAATTTCCTTTGACTTGTGACTACATTCTCTTCTGACATTCCTCTTACTTCTCCGGCCACTCATTTCTCATTCTTTCCTTAAACTTCTCTTCATCTAAACCAGTTCCGTTGAGTCAACTCCTATTCATGGTGACCCCATGGGTCTCTTTATCTCCCTGTTCATTAATCATCTTTCTAACGTCTCATGTTCTCTGTGTATATAGGTACATTATCCCTAAGAATCCGTGGGTGGCTCAAACAGTTAAGCACTTGACTACTAGCCAAAATGTTGGCGGTTTGAACTCACTCAGAGGCCCCTCGGAAGATACTCCTGGCGACATGCTTCTGAAAGGTCACAGCCTTGGAAACCCTGTGCACCTGTGGGGTCTCCATGAGTCAGAATGAACTCTACAGCAACTCACAATAACAATCCCTAGATCAAAGGGCTGGTGGTGAAGTGCCTAAGGCATTTGACTGCTAACCAGAAGGCTGGTGGTTCACACCCACCAGTCACTCCTTGGAAAGAAAATTGGGCAATCTACTTCTGTAGAGATACCACCTCAGAAACACAAGGAGAGGTCGCTATAAGTTGGAAAAATGGCCCAACCACAGTGTTGTTTTTTTTTTTTTAAGAGTACAGGGCAATGGTGGTTCATTGATAGAATTCTCACCTTCGTTGTGGGAGATCCTGGTGGATTCCAGCCAATGTACCTCATGCACAGCCACCATCCTTCTGTCAGTTATGCTGAACAGGTTTCAGCAGAGCTTCCAGACTAAGACAAACTAGGAAGAAAGGCCTGGCAATCTACCTTCAAAAAGCAGCCAGTGAAAACCCTGTGGATCACAACAGTCTGGTCTGCAGCTGACGAGGGGGATGGTACAAGACCAGGCAGCATCTCGTGTCATTGTACGTGGGATCGCCATGAGTTGATGGTTCACCTCACAGCAGCTAACAACAGCAACATCCCTAAAAAAAAAAACAAACCCACTGCTGTGGAGTTGGA